ATATACTTGTTCTACTACTCGTTGAATTATACACAAAGGCACGTTTTATAACATCGATTTACCAATGCGTTTTCGTACAATCAATGTATAACCAACTCATAGTCAACAACCCATATCTCTAGGTTTGAAGACGTATATGATATTACCGTCTCACGATCAATCGAGATAAGTTCCATGAAGTGATAGAAGTGAGTGTGGGTTAAATCCACTACTCAGAACTTATGAGTACTCATTAGTGTTGTAGCAACTCTTGCTATGTCCAACAACTTAGACATCTACAAGCCAACTCATGAAATCTTGATTCATATCTACTTCCAACATATGACTGACTGTGGAGAATTTGAATAATATGATATACCATAACATAACTATTCTGGAAGTCAAAACATGCAAAAATTGAAATGATAGTAAACGATTGACAAAAGATAGCAACAGTTATACTTATAAATAAACATGGAACAATGTCTTACTTATTGTCCAACAGTTTGTTTCCCGATTTCCGATTTGTTTATAATAGAACTTAATTGAACACATCAATTTACTTCTGACCGGGCCCGGTACATAGGTCAAAACAAAATCATCGTGGGGCCCAGATATTGCTTCTAATACAAGAAGGAACATATAAACTTTGACTCATATACTTTTTCTACTACTCGTTGAATTATACACAAAGGCACGTTTTATAACATCGATTTACCAATGCGTTTTCATACAATCAATGTATAACCAACTCATAGTCAACAACCAATATCTCTAGGTTTGAAGACGTATATGATATTACCGTCTCACGATCAATCGAGATAAGTTCCATGAAGTGAGTGTGGGTTAAATCCACTACTCAGAACTTATGAGTACTCATTAGTGTTGTAGCAACTCTTGCTATGTCCAACAACTTAGACATCTACAAGCCAACTCATGAAAGTCTTGATTCATATCTACTTCCGACATATGACTGACTGTGGAGACTTTGAATAATATGATATACCATAACATAACTATTCTGGAAGTCAAAACATGCAAAAATTGAAATGATAGTAAACGATTGACAAAAGATAGCAACACTTATACTTATAAATAAACATGGAACAATGTCTTACTTATTGTCCAACAGTTTGTTTCCCGATTTCCGATTTGTTTATAATAGAACTTAATTGAACACATCAATTTACTTCTGACCGGGCCCGGTACAAAGGTCAAAATGAAATCATCGTGGGGCCCAGATATTGCTTCTAATACAAGAAGGAACATATAAACTTTGACTCATATACTTGTTCTACTACTCGTTGAATTAACACAAAGGCACGTTTTATAACATCGATTTACCAATGCGTTTTCGTACAATCAATGTATAACCAACTCATAGTCAACAACCAATATCTCTAGGTTTGAAGACGTATATGATATTACCGTCTCACGATCAATCGAGATAAGTTCCATGAAGTGAGTGTGGGTTAAATCCACTACTCAGAACTTATGAGTACTCATTAGTGTTGTAGCAACTCTTGCTATGTCCAACAACTTAGACATCTACAAGCCAACTCATGAAAGTCTTTATTCATATCTACTTCCGACATATGACTGACTGTGGAGAATTTGAATAATATGATATACCATAACATAACTATTCTGGAAGTCAAAACATGCAAAAATTGAAATGATAGTAGACGATTGACAAAAGATAGCAACACTTATACTTATAAATAAACAACAAATTTTATTTATCATCAAATTTCAATTACACTTTACAAATTTCAAAAACTATCTAATTTCTAAAACTAATATCATCTTTTAGCCCTATATGCCTCGCATGTTGAAGATGCTTAACCCTACCCAGTCCCTTCGTGAGGGGATATGTTGGGTTCTCATCCGATGATACCCTCTTTGCCACGAGGAGTCCTTCTTCTATTCGATGTATGATGAAATGGTATTTTCTATCGATGTATCTGGATCTTCCGTGATCCCTTGGTTCCTTGGCTAAGGCAACTGCACTTTCACTATCACAGAAAATTTCCATAAACTCCTTTATAGCGGGTACAACTCCAAGGTCTCCAATGAAGTTCTTTAGCCATATAGCCTCCTTTGCTGCCTCGCTTGCCACTATATACTCTGATTCGCAAGTTGAAACAACTAGTGTCTCCTGCTTGGAACTTTTCCAAGTAATTGTTCCTTCGTTTAAGGTAAAGACCCAGCCTGACTGAGAGCGAAAATTATCCCTATCAGTCTGGAAGCTAGCATCACTATACCCTTCTACTCTCAAGTCATCACACCCACCTAGGGTAAGGACCCAGTCCTTAGTCCTCCGCAGGTACTTGAGAATGTTCTTTACCGCATTCCAGTGAGCCTCGCCATGGTTCCCCTGATATCTACTGACCATGCTCAATGCAAAAGCCACATCAGGACGAGTACAAGTCATAGTATACATGATTGAGCCTACAGCAAAAGCATACGGTACTCGAATCATCTCAGCATCTCAGCCTCTATACTCAGGCTCTGAGTCTTACTCAATCTGGCGTTACTCTGGACCGGTAACTCTCCTTTCTTGGAATTTTGGATGCTGAACCTATTC